ATTTGTGCCGCCGTTGCTTGCATGGTTCGATCGGGCCGTGGGGCTCGGTCGGGGCGGCCCTGGTGGCTGCCGTGTGTACAGCTTGGCTGTGCGCACTAGCACGTCTTAAAAACGCACACAGGCACACAGGCACACACGCACACGCGCACAGAGGCACACACGCACACGCACACACGCACACACGCACACAGGCACACAGGCACACAGGCACACAGGCACACAGGCACACGGCACACAGGCACACATGCACACACGCACACACGCACACAGGCACACACGCACACGCACACACGCACACACGCACACACGCACACACGCACACAGGCACACACGCACACACGCACACACGCACACACGCACACACGCACACGCACACACGCACAAACGCACTCACGCACTCACGTTCTCACGCACTCACATGCACACGAACACACGCACACACACTAACAGCGACAGTGCACGCCTGGCGTGTGTTTGCTGCATCACGCGCTCACGACGCATGCGCCACATACTGGGCATCCACATGGGACACACGTCCACATACAACCGCACATACATCATACACATGCACAGGACACACTCGACACAAGCAAACACATGCGCAATCTATATAATACACAATGCACGCTTGCACGCGCATGACGTGGCAGGCGTGGCATAGTCTCGACACCATAGGTGGTGCGCAGGGGGGGGTCTCTGAGCGCGGCCGCCTTCCGCCGCGGTCGTCCAGGGCACAGCAGGCGTGACAGGTGCTCGACACCACAGGGGGTGCGCAGGGGGTGGTTTCTGAGCGCGGCCGCCACCCGTCACGGTCGCCCAGGTCATAGCAGGCATGCCATAGTCGCGACACCATGTGCGATCCGCAGGGGGGGGTCTCTGAGCGCGGCCGCTATCCGTCACGGTCGTCCAGGGCATAGCAGGCGTGGCAGATCTTCGTTTCTGAGCGTGATCGTTATTCGTCATGGTCGTCCAGGGCATAGCAGGCGTGGCAGATGCTCGAAACCCATCGGGGATGCGCAGGGGATGGTCTCTGAGCGCGGCCGCTACCCGTCACGGTCGTCCAGGGCATAGCAGGCGTGGCAGATGCTCGACACCATACGCGATGCGCAGGGGTGGTCTCTGAGCGCGGCTGCTATCCTTCAATGTCGCCCAGGCATAGCAGGCGTGTCATATGTTCGACACCAATCGGGGGTCCGCAAGGGGTGGTCTCTGAGCGCGGCCGTTATCCGTCACGGTCGTCCAGGGCATAGCAGGCGTGGCATATGCTCGACACCAATCGGGGGTCCGCAAGGGGTGGGCTCTGAGCGCGGCCGCTATCCGTTGACCCTCACGGTCGCCCAGGGTATAGCAGGCGTGGCAGATGTTCGACACCCATCGGGGGTGCGCAGGGGGTGGTCTCTGAGCGCGGCCGCTACCCGTTGACTGTCACGGTCGCCCAGGGCATAGCAGGCGTGACATATGATCGACAACCATCGGGGGTGCGCAGGGGGTGGTCTCTGAGCGATGCCGTTATCCGTCACGGTCGTCCAGGGCATAGCAGGCGTGGCTTGGTCTCGTCTCTGAGCGCGGCCGCTATCCGTCACGGTCGTCCAGGGCATAGCAGGCGTGACACTTGTTTGACACCAAGAGGGGAGCGGAAGGGGGTGGTTTTTGAGCGCGGCCCTATCCGTCACGGTCGTCCAGGGCATAGCAGGCGTGGCAGATGTTCGACACCATAGGCGGTCCGCGGGGGGTGTTCTCTGAGCGCGGCCGTTATCCGTCACGGTCGTCCAGGGCATAGCCGACGTGGCATATGCTCGACACACATCGAATGTGCGCAGGGTGTGGTTTCTGAGCGCGGCCGCTATCCGTCACGGTCGTCCAGGGCATAGCCGACGTGGCATATGCTCGACACCCATCGGAGGTGCGCAGGGGGTGGTCTCTGAGCGCGGCCGCCATCCTTCACGGTCGTCTAGGGCACAGCCGACGTGGCATATGCTCGACACCCATCGGGGGTGCGCAGGGGATGGTCTCTAAGCGCGGCCGCTATCCGTCACGGTCGTCCAGGGCATAGCAGGCGTGGCATATGCTCGACACCCATCGGAGGTGCGGGGGGTGGTCTCTGAGCGCGGCCGCTATCCGTCACAGTCGTCCAGGGCATAGCAGGCGCGTGGCATATGTTCGACACACATCAGGGGTGCACAGGGGGTGGTCTCTGAGCGATGCCGCTATCCGTCACGGTCGTCCAGGGCATAGCAGGCGTGGCAGATGCTCGACACCCATCGGAGGTGCGCAGGGGGTGGTCTCTGAGCGCGGCCGCTTTCCGCCACGGTCGCCCAGGGCATAGCAGGCGTGGCATATGCTCGACACCACAGGGGGTGCGCAGGGGGTGGTCTCTGAGCGCGGCCGTTATCCGTCAGGGTCGTCCAGGGCACAGCCGACGTGGCAGATGCTCGACACCAATCGGGGGTCCGCAGGGGGTGGTCTCTGAGCGCGGCCGCTATCCGTCACGGTCGTCCAGGGCAAAGCTGACGTGGCATATGCTCGACACCCATAGGCGGTCCGCAAGGGGTGGTCTCTGAGCGCGGCCGCTATCCGTCACGGTCGTCCAGGGCATAGCAGGCGTGGCATATGTTCGACACCCATCGGGGTTGCGCAGGGGGTGTTCTTTGAGCGCGGCCGTTATCCGTCACGGTCGTCCAGGGCATATCAGGCGTGGCATATTCTCGTTTCTGAGCGCGGCCGTTATTCGTCACGGTCGTCCAGGGCATAGCAGGTGTGGCATATGCTCGACACCCATAGGCGGTCCGCAGGGGGTGGTCTCTGAGCGCGGCCGCTATCCGTCACGGTGGTCCAGGGCATAGCAGGCGTGGCAGGTGTTCGACACCATGAAGGTTCCCCAGGGGGTGGTCTCTGAGCGCGGTCGCCATCCTTCACGGTCGTCCAGGGCATAGCAGGCGTGGCATATGCTCGACACCATAGGGGGTGCGCAGGGGGTGGTCTCTGAGCGCGGCCGTTATCCGCCACGGTCGTCCAGGGCATAGCAGGCGTGGCATATGCTCGACACCCATCGGAGGTGCGCAGGGGGTGGTCTCTGAGCGCGGCCGCTATCCGTCACAGTCGTCCAGGGCATAGCAGGCGTGGCATATGCTCGAGACCATAGGGGGTGCGCACGGGGTGGTCTCTGAGCGCGGCCGCTATCCGTCACGGTGATCCAGGGCATAGCAGGCGTGGCACGTGCTCGACATCGTAGGGTGTGCGCAGGGGGTGTTGTCTCACCGCGGCCCCCATGCGTGCCAGGGTCGGGGAGCGTGGCAGGCGTGGCACTTTCTCGACACCAGAAGGGTTGCGCAGGGGGTGGTCTCTGAGCGCGGCCCCTGTGCGTGCCAGGGTCTGAGAGCGTCGCAGGCGTGGCACTTTCTCGACACCAGAGGGGGTGCGCAAGGGGTGGTCTCTCAGCGCGGCCTCTATACGTGTCAGGGTCGGAGAGCGTGACAGGCGTTGTATTTTCTCGACGCCAGAGAAGGTGCGCAGGGGTGGTGGCGCTATCCGCCCTGGTCGTCCACGGCATAGCAGGCGCGGCACTTTCCTTGACCATTTTAGCAGCCATTCACGTATGTTGCACGTCAGCTATCCTCAGACAAGAGTTCAAGCAAAGTATGTAGGGTTCCTCTGTAGCGTAATTGGGCCTCCTGGGAGGCCCTCGTCGCCACCGCTGGATTCGCATCAAAATCCTGGCCAAAACGCACCCCTGGAGAGGTCCAGGGCGTAGCGGCATCGGTACCTGTTGGCCTCCCCAGTCAGGGGGGGGCAGGCTCATGGGGGGGATGCATCGACCCTCAAGCGCTCATTCATCGCCGACAGTGGGCCGGTATAGCCCCACCCCGCTCAGGAAAAGTCGGATTCGCTATCGGGGGCCTATCGCCGACTTGTTGGCAATGTATCGCCTACTCCAGGTCAATGCTTCGCCCCCTGAGCTGGTCCCCCCCTTGCGTTCCCCCTCAAGGCAGGGATCAAGCATCGATGATGGAGGTTTTGTCCGCGCCTTCGGGGGGGGGCCTCGTCGAAGCGGCTGGATTCGCCTCGAGAGTGTGGTCACCCCCCCCGATGTCTTCCTATTCCTCCTCTTGTTTCTGCTCTTCCTTGGGGTTCCCCCGCGTCAGCCTCCTTGTGCTCCCCCTTCTCCTCGCCTCCTCCTCCTCCTCCTCCTCCTCTTCCTCGTCCCCCCCTCAATGTCCTCCTATCCCTCTTTGCGTCGACGTTTTCTTCCGCGTCCCCTCATCCTCCTCATTCCCCCCCCCTCGATGTCGCCGACGTCGTCGTCCTCCTCCTGGCCCTCCTTGTCCTCGTCAACGTCGTCGTCGGCGTCGTCGTCGCCCACCTCCTCTGCTCCTCCCCCGCCCTCTCCTCTTCCTCGCCATCATCCTCGTGTTCGCCCTCATCGCCCCTCTCATCCTCCTCCCCTCCTTTTCCCCCCCTTCCTGCTCCTGCTCCTCCTCTCCCTCTTCGCCCTCCTCGTCCTCATGCGCCTGCGGATCCCCTCCTTTCGGCCCTTTTTCCACCGCCTTCCCCTCAGTTTCTTGCCCATTTCCTTCATTATCCTCTCTGCTTTGCTCCTCCCCCTCCTGCTCCCCTCCGCACCGCTGCAACCGCGCCTCATCGCACCACATTGCGTGTGTACCGCATTCCGTTTCTCTGATCTGAACGAATCAGGACGCGTTGGGGTCTCAGACAAGCATCCAACTTCATAGGTTCCAGGTCCCGCGTTTTCCTTGCCTTTTAGTGCCCGCAGTCGGACACGTGTTCTGAATATCTTCCATTTGCTCTTGAGCAGAATCTTCAGTCGGAAAGCATTTGTCAGAACATCATTCTGCTAATGCAGGAAAACAGGCGCTCTCCCTCGTCCCCGTCCTCCTCACCCTTCCCTCCCCTCGTCCTCCTCCTCCCCGTCCTCCCTTTCCTCCGCCCCTCATCTTCCTCCCGCCATCCCCGTCGTGGTCCTCGTCCCCCTCGACGCCCAGGTCGCGAGGGGCCAGAAGGGAACCAAGCGCCAGAAGGAGGCCTACGCCAAGAAGGCGCGCTGCGGGGCCGTGCCACTCGCACTGGCCTACTGTCATCGCCATCGTTTTGTTCCTCCTCTGGGGCATTCTTGGACCCCCCGTTACACCCACCTTCAATCAGCTATTGGCCTCCTCATCCGCAGTGTTTGCCCCCCTTCCTGCTCCATTATCCTCACCATCCTCATCATGCTCATCCTCATCCTCATCATCATCCTTCTCCTCCTCATCATTATCAGCATCAGCATCAGCATCATCAACAACAGCATCAGCATCAGCATCAGCATCATCATCAACATCATCATCAGCATCATCCAGCATCATCAGCATCGTCATCAGCAGCATCAGCATCGTCGTCGTCGATGTCGTCATCATCATCATCATCATCATCATCATCATCATCATCACCAGCATCACCGGCATCAGCAGCATCATCAGCAGAAGCATCATCATCACCAGCATCAGCAGCATCATCATCGTCGTCGTTGTCGATGTCGTCGTCGTCGTAGTCGTCGTCATCGTCGTTGTCATCATCATCATCATCACCACCATCATCATCACCATCATCACCATCACCATCACCATCATCATCATCATCATCATCATCATCATCATCATCATCATCATCATCATCATCATCATCACCATCTCCGTAGTCGCCGTGCCTCGTGCAGTCCTATGGCTCGTACGGCCTGGCTTGAGTCGCTCTCCAGTCAACGGTGGCCGTCGCACTGGCGCGGCGGTTTGCAGGCACAACATGGTGTGTCGGACCATCGGGCAATCGTTGCGGCTGCACCGCGCGGTTGCGGCTCCCCGTCAGAGCCCAACAGCGTGCTGGTCTTCCTCATCTCCATTATGTTCCTACAACGCGCCACCGATAATGATTAGCATCCGCCTTCGATACCGGCGTTTCTGCAACGGCGGAGGCGCGGCTGATGCTCCTCCTGTCTTTGACAATTCTCGTCTCTTCCTTCCACGTCGTGCGCCTTTTTCGCGCGTCGCGCTCTGGGTGTGAGAAGCCACCGCTGCCGGGTCGGCGTCTCGCTCGCCGTCGGCCAGGGTCTGCAGCGTTGTGTGATCTGCCTCGTGGTGCCCTGTTGCGCACTCGCGCTTTCAAAGTTGGCTACCAGCTTTGTGTGCCAAATGGTTGTGGTTCTTCGGGGCGTGCATCATCGTGGGGCTTTCCATCTCGTCCTATCCAGACCAATTCGCGGCGTTACCCGGCGTATTCCCGTGCAGCTCGGTTCCCCTCTCAATGGTGTCTTCGCCATTTGGCAGAGCCTCGGCTTCGCGCACTTTCGGTGGGCCCAGTGGTATGGATGTCAACAGTGGGCTTGGCCTATGCCACCTTGCTGCCCTACTAGCGTACGTATCCTGCCTCGCGTTTCTCGTTCTCACCCGCGACTTGGTCATCTCAATGGCCCTGCCGTTCTCTGAAGTGCACGAATCAGGGTTTCTGCGGCCCGTTTGTATATTGCAAGGCCCTTCATGTCCGAGGAGGGCTTCGTCGGGGTGTGCTTCTTCGAGTGCTTCATCGTGGAGTGCTTCATCGTGGCGCGCTTCATTGCGGCGTGCTTCACGGTGGAGTGCTTCGTCGGGGAGTGCTACGGAATGGGGTACTTGATCGGGGCGTGCTACACCGCGACGTGCCTCATCGTGGCGTGCTTCGTGGAGGCGCGCTTCCTCGGAGAGGCGCGCTTCATCGTGGATAGCTACATCGTGGAGGGCTTCATCGAAGGCCGCTTCATTGTGGCGCCTTTTAGCGGAGGCGTTCTTCACGGAGGCGCGCTTCATCGTGGCGCGATGTACGGAGGCGTTTTCCACGGAAGCGCGCGTAATCGTGGAGGGCGTCATCGGGGGGGTCATCGGGGTGGTTTGCTTTATTCTGACGTGTTTCTACAGTGAATGTTTCGGAGGCGTGCTGCTTCATCGGTGGGGGCTTCATTGCGGTGTGCTTCCCCGGGGAAGCGTGCGTCGCGGAGGCGCGCTTCATTCTGGCGTGCTTCATCTTGGTGAGTTTCACCGACGCGTGCTTCATTGCGGCGTGCTCTTTCGGGGTGTGCTACATAGCGGAGTGCTTCTTCGAAGGCTACCGTAGGGTTTGGCCATGAGTCTGGGATCGGCGTGTCCTCCATGGGCAACAGAACGTTCTTCACCACTATATTAACAATAAAAGTTGGCTCGTCGAGCGTTTCGTCGGGGTGTGCTTCGTCGTGGAGCAGTACACCGTGGAGTGGTTCATTGGGGCGTGCTTCTTAAAGTGCTTCGTCGCGGAGTGCTTCATCGTGGCGTGCCACTCTTGGCGGGCCTCACCGTCGAGTGCTCCGCAGGGAGAGTTTCATCACAGAGTGCGTCATTGTGGCTTGCTTCACCGTGAAGCGCTTCATCGCGGAGGTCGGCAGCGTTCGCGGTCACCTCGCTCGTGCCGGAGTCCCTCCTTACCTAGGCGATGATGTTCAGTGGGTCATCATCGTCGTCGTCACCGTGCCTCGTGCAGTTTTCGGGCCCGTGCTGCTGGCTGGACTCGCTCTCCAGTCGCTGGTGGCTGTCGCACTGTCGCGGCGGGGCGCAGACATCACAGTGTGCGTCGGACCCTCGGGCAACCGTTGCGGCTGCACCGCGCGCTTGCGGCCCCCCGTCATAACCCAACAACATGCTGGCCTTCTTCATCTCCAGTATTCCTACAACGCGCCACCGATAATAAGCAGTAGCAGCATCTTCAGCATCATCATCAGCAGCGGCCGCGTAGTCATTATCACCACCATCACCATCACTAAGTAGGCGTGTCGTCATAGTCGTCAGCATCACCATCGTCATTATCATCACCATCACCATGTTCACCACCCGCCATCATCATCGTCCTCGTCATCAGCATCACCATCATTATCAGCATCACCATCATCGTCGGCATCATCACCATCACCTTCCTCACCACCACCACCATCATCATTATTATTTTCATCCTTCTCCTCATCCCCATCACCATCCTCATCCTGATCATCCTCCCCGCCACCATCGTCGTCATCATCACCGTCGTCACCGTCATCATCGTCGCCATCGTCATCGTCACCATCACCATCACTATCGCAATCAATCGAACCACCACCATGATCATACTCGTCACCATCGGCATCGCCATCGCCGTTATCTTCAGCATTACCATCACCACCGCCACCACCATCATCATCAGCATCACCATTTTCGCACATATCAGATTAGTTCTGCTTCTTGCAAGGTGCATTCATTAGGAAGGTGCCTTTACTAGGAGGATTAATGATGTGTTCGATGGGTCCATTTGGGCCAGGGATCCAGGTCCTCCTCATTCTGCCTCATGCTACCCCCCTCGTTGTTCACCCCCCCCCCGCGGAGGAGGAGGAGGAGGAGGAAGAGGAGGAGGTGCGCGAAGAGGGAGGAGTGAGGGGCAGGAGAAGGGGGGAAGCAGGGCGCAGGATATGCATTGGCGCAGGGTGGAGGGGGTGGAGGGTCGCAGGAGGGAGGAGGACGGGGGCAACCGTCCTCCTCCTTGTCCTCCTCCTCCTCCTCCTCCTCCCTTCGCTTTCCTCCTTCACTGACTTAGCTTCCAGTCATGGCCAGGCTTAATATTGTCACCCGCAGGGCCCCTCACCTGCAGGGCCTGCTCAGGTAGGCCGACGGGTGCGGCTCCTCTCGCGTTTTTCCTTTTTGTGTCATCACCCTCCTTTTCATTTTCGCCAACTTCTTCCACGTTCCCATCGTGGTCCCCGCGGTTTTATCCGTTTCCTCCCCGCGTCGGGCTCCATACAATCTCGCAGATGTCGCAAGCACGTTGAGCCGTGACCCCCCCCATTCCATGATGCACGCAAGCGCTTGAACATCGAATCGCCACACCGTCCTCCGACCCAACTCATCCACCGTTCGGCCAAACCTCGTCGCCTGTCCATCGCATGCTGATTTCCGCTTCGCGTGGGCTGAGCGACCACTGCGCCACGTAGTCACACTGGGCGCGAACGAAGTAGCTGGGAGGGTTGCAGGGACAGAGAGGGGAGGGATCGGGGGAATATAGTAAGTGGCTGGGGGAGGGAGGGAGACAGAAGGAGAAGGTGGCGAAGAGGAACAGGCAAGGGAGGGTGCCTGTGGAGGCACCCGCACGGGGATCCCATGGCGCCATGGAATGGGGCGGTATCTCGCATTACAGGGCCACCACTGGTGATCGCGAGAGCCACGTTTCTGTCAAGCTTTCGTGGTATGCGGCCTCGGGTCCACAACGCAGGGCCGATAGAGAGAGCCAGTAAGAAGCAACGTCTTTCAGACATGTGTCGCCGTTCTTGCAACTGGCGCAGTCGCAATACGTGACACTTCGTAACCATCGCCCATCTCGCCCAAGCAGGCCCGCCTACGATCCGATGCGATGCGATTCGACCTGCCAGCCCGGGAAGCGATTCCGATTCGAGTCGATTCGGCTCGCTGCACCGGCATCGGCCGGGGCCAGCCGGAGCTGGGCGTGGCGATCCGAGCTCGACCTGATTCGGGACGACGCTCCGTGGGCAATCCGAGCCGCTTCTGAGCCGGTCCGGTCTCGCGATCCGATCCAGCGCAAGGGGCAGCAGGCGGAAAGTCGGACGCGCGCCCGAAACGCCGCCGAGGCCAACACTCGCACGCACGCACGCACGCCGCACGCACGCCGCACGCACGCACGCACGCTGGCACGATCATGCACGCACGCACGTACACGCACGCACGCACGCACGTACGTACGTACACGCACGCACGCACGCACGCACGCACGCACGCATGCACCCACGCACGCACGCACGCACACTATCACACACACACACACACGTACACGTACACATACACATACACATACACAAGCAGATTTCCTTTTTGGCGGCAGCGGCCTCGCGCGCGGCAACGAGTCGTAGCCAGTGCAAGGACGCACACACACACACACTGTCGTGGTGGAGCCCGAGCGGGGCGGGAAGCTCCCCGCCTG